AAGGAAGCATCAATTTGTAGAATGCTCAAATGGGACATGAGCAAAATATAAAACCTTATTTGAAGGGCACAAAAGATAGTTCTGTCAGCTAGACCAAGATAAAGACCATAGGGGGGGATTTATTGTTTTAACTCCTCTACGGATTGTAAAAAAAAAAAAAAAAAAAAAAAAAAAAAAAAAAAAAACCAACAAAAAAAAAAAAAAAAAACCCTTTCACTTGGCTTCACACAGGTTTTACAGATCCTTTTTTGGCTGACTGCGGAGTAAGTAATATTCTATCAGAGAATTTATGTTTAGATTTCTCCTCTCAGCAACAGCCCATCTGCAAAACAGGTTATTACAGTAATGGCTGGCTATTTTACTGGGGGAGTGGAGGGAAGAGCTGTTGGAAAGATGAATTTAACAGTAACAATTCAGTGTCTTCTAGGTCTGCGTGGGACTACAGAAGCAGTTTTTCAAACTGTCTTAGTTTGAGATCTTAGTATTAGTAGTACAGAAAGACATCAATCAGAACAACATCTTCATGACTTCTGAAGGATAGCTTATCAGAAACCGTTTTGGTTGGAATTAAATGTAGTGGCAAACAGATCTGTGACAGATGAAACATCTGATCAGAGACTGGTTGTTTCAATTCCTACTCATGAAGGCAGACCTTTATCATTTCAAGGACTTTTGCTTGGCATTTCATGGCTCCTAGAATATGGATTGTTGTCAAATGGCTATCACTTGCTTGGAAGTACAGGTTGAATCTCTCTAGTTCAGCACTCTCAGGACATGACTGGTGTCAAGCCAGAAAATTTGCTGAACCACAGAAGGTCAATATTGTGTAGCAGCAATTACCAACACTTCCACTGCATACTGGGCTCTTAGGAGACATTTAGGAGTAAATTAAAGCTAAATAAGAGCACAGAATACACTTACAGCCAGGACTGGTGGCTGTAAACAAACTTTAAGGGACTTGGCAATATCCATGGTACGTGGACATCTGGCTATCTAAATTCATCCTGGACCACAGATGTTGCCGGATCACAGAGATTCAACCTGTACTGCCCAAGTTCTTAGGTTTCAAGCAACAGACTTGTGATCTGCTACCTTTTGGTTTGTTTACCAAGAAAACATCCTGTCTTATTGCACTGCAGAAATACTAACAGATTACAATAAAATGTGAAATAATTATAAATAAATATAGTTTAATTCTGTCTGCCTTAAGAATTTATTCTTCAGAGATAGCTGGCAAGCTAATTTTAATTCTGTATTCTATGACTGCATTCAGAATACATGATATACCTCTTCTGGCTCTATGAAAGCGCACACACACACACGCGCACACAGATTTCTATTATCTCTCATGAAATTTTCAGGGAAAGTGACAATAATAAAAATCAGATTTTATAAATCCAGGGAGACCTATATGAAACCACAGAGATACTCCACAGACTTCCAAGCAAGTAATTTGGAAACAGGAATGGCTGTAATGAATCAAACCAGTGGTCCACCTAATTCAGAATCTTGTCTAACAATGGCTGGTGCCTGATGTGTCAAAGGAAGATACAAGAAATTCCAGAGTGGATAACCTACCACAAAAGAAATGTATTAACTCTTAGGTAGTTTATGCTTAAGAGTTTCTCTAGCTTTATATCAGAGGGGTAGCCGTGTTAGTCTGAATCTGCAAAAGCGGCGAGGAGTTCTGTGGCACCTTATAGACTAACTGAAGTGTAGGAGCATAAGCTTTCGTGGGCAAAGACCCACTTAGTCAGACCCACTTTTGCCCACGAAAGCTTATGCTCCTACACTTCAGTTAGTCTATAAGGTGCCACAGGACTCCTACCTGCTTTTCTAGTTTTATAATCCTCTCTAATACCATGTGGATGTTTTCATAACCCATAAAAACTTCAAAACACTTTTCCAGCTATATTTGTGGCAATGATTTTCACAGGTTAGTTATGTATTCTGTAAAGATATATTGTATATACTCGTTCACTAGCCTGTTCATTTATAAGCCAACCCCCCCCGCCCAAGATTAAAAGCATTTTGTCATATTCATCTATGATCCTTTCATAAGCCGACCCTATATTTTAGTGGTTGGCAAACTTCAGTTCCTACCTCATCAAGATCAGCTGCTAGAGCTTTGGGATATTTTGTTTACCTAGAGCATCTGCATGCCATTCAGACATGCCAGGTACAGAAGACACTCTGGCACGCCAGCAGCTTACTCTGATGGTTGGGAACTAAGTTTACCAACCCCTGAACTATAATGACGATGTAGATCAATTGATAAGCCAGCCCTGCTCTTTGATGGGTCACTTTTATACCCTCCCCCCCAAATCGCCTTATGAAGGAATATAGAGGATATTTCTTATCAATTTTTAAATGTATTGCTTTTAATTTAACTGGCCATCCCTCTGCTCTGATGGTATGGAAAAGGATAAAAAGGAATTAATGATTTATCTTTTCAAACCACTG